TCAAAAAAAGGAGAAGGTAGGTACTACTATGTTCGGATGATTGCTTTATTTTGTTTGTTTATCGATTACTCCGCCATTTGTGAACCGATTTCCAAAATTATTTCTTTTAATCGAAAGGTTACACTGCCGAGAGGGTCCCATTTTCATCAGGCCTTGTACTCGTTACGATTACTTTGAAAAATGAAATAAGTTCCATACAAAATTATTTATTAAAACCTTAATAGGTATCTAATTCACAATTTTGTGGACATTAAGTTATATCATTATGATATGAGCTTATGGCACCGACTTCTAACCTATCAGTGGGTGGGTAACCTATCAGTACTAATAATAGTTATTTTTTGCTTTTTAGTATTGACTTTTTGTTTGTTATTAGTTTTTGGTTTTTGAAGTCGGTTTTTTAAACGCAGTTTTTATTTTATTGTTTTACCATTTTCAGTGTAAAGCTACATATACCCGTTTTGTTACTTATAATATACATAGGTGCAAAGTCCTCATCAATACAAATTAATCAAGCCCAAACTCAAGGTAGTTACTGTATACCGTTGAGGAGTTCCCTTACCAATTACACTTCTTCATCATCAGACCCTTAATGACAGCCCCACTGTATCTAGGTGTAAAGTCCTCATCAATACAAATTAATCAAGCTCAAACACAAGGTAGTTAATATAAACCGCTGAGGAGTTCCCTCGACTGTCTGTCGACTCCATCATCAGGTCGACTCCAAACCCATATGAAATTGTAGTGTTTAAAAATGCTAATTGAAAAACATAATAGACGCATTACTCCTCCATAGAATTTTCGAAAGTTCCCCTCGGTTTCCCTAGGATCTCACCATCAGATCCTGACTTCATGGAAATGGGACATTCATCTCGGGAGTATACCCTTTCAAACAAAACAAAAATTTTCGAAATCGGTCCACAAACGGCGGAGTACTGCGCGAACAAACAAAAAAAAAAAAAAAAAAAACAATCAGCCGAACATAGTACCTCCTCCTTTTTTTGAAGTCGGTAAAAAGAAACTCGTACTAAGGCCTCAGAGCGCCGAACGCATACAAGGTACGATTACTTTAAACGTAAAACAAACTCGTACTAAGGCCTCAGAGCGCCGAACGCATACAAGGTACGATTACTTTAAACGTAAAACAAACTCGTACTAAGGCCTCAGAGCGCCGAACGCATACAAGGTACGATTACTTTAAACGTAAAACAAACTCGTACTAAGGCCTCAGAGCGCCGAACGCATACAAGGTACGATTACTTTAAACGTAAAACAAACTCGTACTAAGGCCTCAGAGCGCCGAACGCATACAAAGTACGATTACTTTAAACGTAAAACAAACTCGTACTAAGGCCTCAGGTCAGGATCTGTTGATGGAATCCTAGGGAAACCGAGGGGAACTTTCGAAAATTGTAGGGGTCGTCTCGTCTATTATGTTTTTTGGTAAAGATTTTGAAACAATAGATTTTGATGAGGATCTGGAGTCGACGTGGTGATGGAGCCCACAGACAGTCGAGGGAACTCGTCAACGATTTGTAGTAACTCTACCTCGTGTTTAAGTTTTATTAATTTGTATTGATGAGAACTTGACACTGTCATTAAGGCCCTGATCATGCAGAAGTGTAATTTTTAAGAGAATTCCTAAACGGTATGCATTAACTACCTTATGTTCGGGCTTGTATAATTTATATTGATTAGAACTTTGCACCTATTTGAATTATAAGTTTAAAATGGGTTTATGTAGCTTTACACTAAAAATGACAAATTAAAAATTGCGTTTAAAAAACCGCCGTCAAAAAACCCAAAACTAAAAACAAACATTTATTGAGGCCGATATAAATATTATGACACACTCCTCGAGCCTCGAGGTCGCCCATCCCCAGACTGGCGACAGCAACGTTGCTTAACCAAAGCGGTTCCTTTCATTCATGAAGTATTTTAATATACAATTTAAATGTTATCAAGGTAAATAAAATAACCACTGATGACGACGAACGGAACGGTGGGTTTACAACGTTCTACATACATAGGTAGGTACGTTGGTGTTTAGGTAAAAAAGTGTGCTGCATACAATGTGCTTGCTTAAAACTGTAATAAGTAGGTAGGTACCTATATTAAGTTACCTAATAAGGTACTTCATTAATTTACATTGTCATTGAGTATATAATATCCAGTAACAACTCTCGCCTTGGATGAGGCTAGAGGGAGTGTCAGACTATTACCTACCTATAATGGGTGTCTTTTTAGTCAGTAATAGGCAGTGGCGTAACTACAGGGTGGCAAATAGGCAAAATGCTACTGGCCCCCAGCTGGAAGAGACGTTCAGTTTTTATTGCAATCTTCTGTGTTTTTAATGCAAAGGGGAATGGGAAGCCCATTCGATGAATATGCCACGGGACCCGAACGATACAGTTACACCACTGGTAATAGGTAACCTATAGGTATTACTGACTAAAAATCACCCCCTTCTTACTCCTGCTTCATGCCGGAGCAACGGTAACCCGTTCAGTTGTCTGCGGCTCCGGATTTTAGGGTACCCGGGAAATACATACACTACATAAATATAGTTATAATATCTACTTATAAGATATACTGAACCAATTAATAAATAATTTAATACAACCATACTCCCCAAAGTAATATAATTTACAGAAGTTGTAAAGAATTAAATATACTGCGATATTTTTTTATTAGTATTAGTATATACTTAAGTATAAAGAGCAATATTAATATAAGTAGAAATCTATATCATCTATACCTACCTACATAATTATTTATAATAAAATCCTAAGAAAGTGAAAACTGTACATTGAATATTTTTTTAAAAGAATGCTTTGATCGCGTGGTCTTCAATCGATACCGAAACCAAAAATATGGTTATTAGAATTTTTTGTCTGTTTGTCTGTAGGTATGTCCGGGATGAACTCAAAGAGTGGTGCATGGATTTTACTAAATTTTGCATGAATATTACTAACAGGTCGGATCAACATATAGGCTAGGTACATAATATCATGCATCAACTACCTACAGGGGAAAAGCTGTGAATCACTTTTTCACGCGGACAAAGTTGCGGACTCAGCTAGTAAGTTAATAAATAGCAGAAAACCCATAGAATACCAAATGTTTGCAATTAATGTATAATAAAAAAAATCGATCGAGTCGATTTTTTTTATCTTTGATCTCGTCTATAGTTATAGATATACCCTACGATGCTACGATATGTAAGTTTTCACATAAGTTACAAGTTGGTTTTACAATTTCATAGCTCATACAATATGAGAGATATCTCATACAAAACGGGGCAAGATAAAAAAAGTATTCTATTTTATCTTACTTCTTTCTTACTAATATTATAAATGCGAAAGTTTGTGATTTTATGTGTAGTACTAGTACCTATGTTTGGTACTTCATCACATCAAAACGGCTAAAGGGATCGGATCGAAATTTGAAACAGGGATAGATTATAGTCTGAAAAAACATGTAGGCTTCTTTTTATCCCACGGGAACGCGGGCAAACCCGGGACTGAAGCTATTACCAACATATACACAATGACATAAAACCCATAGGAAATAAAATATTTGCAATAAAATGTAAAAGTTTAAGTTGTCAATAATAAAGATTTTGGACAAGTTTTTAGGCGGCTATCTTACGTTCCGATGTGAAACCCTTATTTTCCTACGTGGTACTAGCTAGAATGAATTACACCAGTACACTACCTAGGTATTAGCTAAATATCTTTACTTAATACTCAAACAAAAGATTCTTAAAATGTTACTAAAGAGGTTTCTTAACATTTAACACAAACACAATATTCACATTTACTTGAACTTGTTGTGTAACTGTCACTGAAACTTAAAAACTTGAAACAATTTACCTAGCAAATCGATGTACAAGACGATAATCGAAGCAATTGCACTCAAGCTTCGCGAACTAAGACGACGAGTGCACTGCGTAGCGCGGTGTTCACACTAAGCGTGCGAAGCCCGCGCGCAGGCACCATCGGTGCCAAGGCCGCCGCTGGCGCTGATTGCGAAGTAGTTATTCGTTATGTCAGCTTGTGTTCTACTTATGCAACGCTTACCTACCATTACGATGCAGTTCGATGGCCCGGCGGTTCTTCTTAATATTTGGCGTTCCGACCAATTGACTTATTAAATAGGTGGTATACTGGTACCTCATTACAATATTAGTACACACCCATATTACCCGCGCATACCTACTCAAGAAGGTAGGTGACGGCTTTCATCATTGCTTGTGCAACTATCAAGCACTTAGCAGTTATTTGCATAGATTGTATATTTCAGTTTCAGTGGCGTAGCGTATCTTGGCGGGGCTCCATATAAAATTTTGTCTGAAAGGTAAACAATTCTGAAGAGATTTTTTTTTTATAAAGATACCTTCTCTTCCCAAATTATCGGACAATGATTAGGTAGGTACTTTAGTTTTTCCAAAATTTCTGCCATGGAAAATATTTTTTTCTATTGTATGGTTTACCTTTGAACGCATGCATTTTGTGATTACTGAAATAAAATATAAATTGAGAAGTTTTTATATTTTTGCACACGTTGGGGCCCCCGTAGTCTGGGGGCCCCATATAATTGATACGGCAGATACGGCGCTAGCTACGCCCCTGGTATATTTGTACCTATTTCACACTTTTTATACCTACGGAGATTTTTTTAAGGGCTCCTTTTTAGGGTCCTCTAAATAGAAACGGATGTTTTTTTTAGTGCAATGGTGTTCAGACTATGTCAGACCTACTGCTTAAGAAATCTAACAGTCGGCACAGCGTCCAACAAATTAGCCGTTTGAATCAGACATTAAACCGTCGTGTGTCTAAACGTGGATCTACGCGAGACATAATGTTTTTTTCTATTGTGTCTCATATCGGTGCATTCAAGCGGTTAATGGAAAATAAAAAACCATCTTCTGTCTGTTAACCCCCATTTATTAGATAAAAAGATGTAATTTTCAAATAAAGGGACCAATTTAAGGAGACTTAAGAAGTTACTAGCTCCATTTTTCTATATTTTTTCCGAAGTGTCGATACAGGATCTTTAAACAGTATCGGATCTAATCTCAATACGGACCGCATCAGTGGCATGTAACCCCAGGCAGTAGCGAATGTATTGAGACAGGATTGCCTTTGCACGAAGTGCTCGGGGTCGCTCCAAGAAGACCTGGAATAAAAAGCCAATAACTACTTAGGAATGTCTTCAACTTGCCCTAATTTTAAGAAAAATGTATATAACGTTATGAAACGAATTATTATTGTTATTGCATAAAACAAAGTTTAATGGTATTAATTAAACTACTACCTACATCTTATATATATATATATATATATATATATAAAAGAAAGTCGTGTTAGTTACACCACTTATAACTCAAGAACGGCAGAATAGATTTGGCTGAAAATTGATAGGGAGGTAGCTTAGAGCCAGGAGCCCGACATAGGATACTTTTTAACCAACATTTTTTTTTACTTTTTACCGAAAATCACGAACGGGGACGGGGAAAAAATGGGATTACGCTTACGAAGTCGCGGGCAGAAGCTAGTTAATTAATAAAATTAGGTTTTGATAAACATGCTAAGACAAAGAAGTAATAAAAAGTTAATGAAATATTTACTTATATTTATGATGTGTAGCTTTATACCGACGCCGTTGAGCTAATTTGAGTGGCGGCCGTCGGGTGAGATGTGAGGCAAGACAATTCAATAATATATCCTCGCAATTGCGCGTCCGGCGCACGGCCTGCCGCAGCGCTGGGGCGGCGGCCGCGTACTGGGCCAGGACCGAGCGATGCACTAGAGCCGCGCCCGGCAACACCATTGAATATGAATCACCCCACTTACTGCTGTAACCCCAAGCTCCCTGTATTTGACAAAACAACAATATGTTTTACATTATATTATTGCTGTTTAACAATGTCTAATAGATACCTAAATTAAAATTAACCTTTGCTTCGTCCCAAAAATGAGTTCGAGCCGGGTAGCCGACTATTCGCTCAGGAAAATGTTTCCAAACACGAAAAGCAAAGTCAAGTTCTTCAGCCAAAAGAGGAGCATCACCGTCTAGAGAAAATACACCAGCTGTGGGGACCGCCCACAATGGTTGCCACCTAGCCGAAACACCTTCCCTGAAATAATAACAGGTATTAATAGAATAATCTTAACAAAATTAAAAAAAAATGTTTAAATAGTCAGAAATATACTGAAATTACCCAGGGTAGTGGGTGGTGGCGTCAACAACGAGTACGGGTAGCGCATCGCGCGTGTCGCCTGCTAAGCGTGATAGCGACTTTAGCGAAGGCGCCGCACGTTCGCTATCCCACACCAAAACGACCTACCGATTAATAGTCGCATTAACGTAAGTCTTTACATTGATAATCTTAATAATGTAATCAGTATCTTAAAACATGAAACTAGTTGATTTGTTATACTGGATATTTCCTTTCCTCATACTGTATTACCTTTTCACAATATTCACTGCTTGCTATATTGGCAAGTAATTTATGTAACGCCGGTGATGTAGCTTGAACATATAATAAAGCTGTATAAGTATTGCCTGGTGTAGGTGGTGGTGCTGCCAGAGGTACCAAAGGGGCTGGGAGTGGAGACAAAGGACTAGACGGACAAGTAGGGGCTTGAAGAATAGGGGCTGAAATAGGAAAATGAACTCGGGAGTCACCATAAGTTGCTAAAGTTCCTAGGGCACCAGGAGATGCATTCCAAATTAAAGCTTCACGTTGCTTTGACAATCTGTGTTCTAGTACACGCTCTAGTAAAATCTGTAAATGTAAAAATGAAATTCAACAACGAATATCGATTAAAACTTAATAAAAGTAAGACATGAAAAATATTTAGTTCAAAGGAATGTGCGTAACTGTTTATTTCTGTATCTATTTGAGAGAAAACTACAAACTGCGCACATTATACAACTTTTAATAATTACCTCTATCGTCGTAAATACAATTTTTTCTATTGACGAAAAATATTGCTCCCATAAAAACTGTGTTTGTTGCCGGAGAGCAAGAATACGCTCAGGAGGAACTGAGCGCACTAACTCGGGCACCTACAGAAAAATATTATTTTAATTTTAGTAAAATATTTTCATATTTTATACGTGGATGTCTCCTCTGATAGGTATATTAGCGTAATAAAACGCAACCTTTAAGAAAATATCATAAACTGCCGCATACCCACATTCATTTATTTTCACTGCTATAAGTTAAAGTTGAGCGACAAGAAAATTGTTCTACGAAAACTGTGACAAAAAAATAGTTAAAAAATAAACTGTGACAAAAAATAGTTAGTTAAAAAATATCTTAATTTTGATGTAAAAAAACCTACCAATGAATAGAATATTTATCTACTAATAAATATTTGCGAAAATGTGGTATAATTTTGAAACTATACCTCTACAATGTCGCTGAATATATTATATTGGGTTGTTGATGTAGTATTGGTCCGAACTAACTCCCCTCACAGTACGGAGCACTATTTAATGTACACCTGTATATTACAAGTTAAATAAAAGCTTGCCAAATTGCTATACAGTTGCGATAACGTGAATGTTTGCACTGTTGTGACACGACTGGTACAAAGAATTCGTCCAAGCCCGAATCATTTACGCAAAGTATGTAGGCTAGCGGGCTATGGCGAATATTCGGGTTACGGTTAGGGCATGTAAAACCGGTTTTCCGGTTTTGCGCAAAACCGGAAATCGGCCAAAATTTTACGATTATTGAAAACCGGTTTTGAGAGCCAAAACCGGAGCTCAGCTCCGGTTTTCCCATTATTAAGTAACAATCAACATTTTGTTTTAATCAAATTTTTTTCAAACACTCTTACAAAAATAATTAATATTGAGGCATTAAATGTATCCGAACCGAACACAGCCTGCATCCACCCATTTTCACGCCTCCCTCCACTACCCCCGCCTGATGCTTAACTAAATGAAGTGCATTTTCGTAGTCGATAAAACATATTATCAGCACGTCCGTTTGCATTTCTCTGCATTTTTGAAGAGATGGAGATTCTGAGATCGTTGAGGGCGAATAAAGCTTCACGGGTGCCTACACCAGAATGAAATCCGAATTGGCTGTCTCCCAGTTGTTCGTCACACTTTACTCTTATTCTGTTCTGTATGATGTTTAAGAACACTTTTAGGACATCTCTCATTAGACTCATCATCTGGTACTCTCCATATTTTGTTGCATTTTGTTTTTTGAGTATTGTAATGAACGTAGACTTTAGCCAGTCATGTGGAAGAATGCCAGTTTCGTAAATGTTGTTGAAGAATTGGTCAAGTACTTCCTCCAATAGCTTGAGAATCTCGATGGGTAATATGGGTATGTTATCTGGTCACGTAATATCTCCGATTTTAAAATAGTTGGACCCGTGTCATTAGTAATTATTTGGATATTTCTTGATGGGTCTGCGAACATCTCCGAGCCTGCACCCCGCAGTTGATTATTGATCTCTTTTTTAGTGCAATATGAATCATATTATAATAATATTATTTTGTAGTTTGTCTTCAAAGTTACAAAAATAATGTTTTTTTTTGGTAATTGTGGCTGGCTGTATTTAATATTTAAAGATGCTACTTGTGTTTTCTATGTTTAAAATATATTATTTTTGATAGCAGACTTAATAGGTTCCAAAGATACCAAAAACTTATTTGTTGTTGATTTGATCTCAGTTAAATAATTTTTATACATTATAAGTTCATTGTTATCTGTACAATTATTATGGTTTGGATGTAAAAGAAGTGAATCACACAATTTGTGTTATTTGTAGACTCAGTGGGTATTAAAAAAAACGGTTTTCTTTTTTAAATTAACTACATTGGATTTTTTTGATAAAACCGGACCTAGCTCCGGTTTTCGGTTTTGGTACCAAAAAAACGATGTTCAAAATCGGTTTTGATGACTTTCCGGTTTTACATGCCCTAGTTACGGTGATGTACGTGATGTATGTGGCGGTTGCCGGGTACATCGTTCGAACGCGATGTATTTGCGTGCAGACGATGTAGTATCGGAGCATTGTCGATAAACTGGCGCGCTTCAAAGGTCTTGTCACCACAATATTACATATTATATACATCGTTGCAACGATGTACATGCATCACCGTAGCCCAAATTTAGTCGTAGCCAGCGGGCTTGGGCTGCCGTCGCAGCGGTAAGTCCCCTCTTTGAGGAGTGGCTTGAGAGACGCTACGGCGTCCTCACCTACCGCCTGATGCAGGTCCTCACCGGACATGGAAGTTTCGGGAGGTACCTGTGTCTAATGGGGCGGGAGGGAACGCCCGGGTGTCATCACTGCGAGGACCGCCCTGAGGACACGGTGGAACACACTGTAGCGGAATGCCCTGCGTGGGCTGAGCACCGCCGTGCCCTCAGGGAAGTGATCGGCGATGGCGACCTCTCGCGTCCGGGCCTAGTGCAGGCCATGATGCGGAGCGAGGGGGACTGGGATACCGTCTCCTCCATTTGCGAAGCAGTCATGCTAGCTAAGGAGGAGGCGGGACGCGCGCAACCCAGCCATCACGAAGGATACACCGGGCGTCGGGGATCGCGGGACGATCTCCGGCCACCGTAAGCGCGGGCCTGCGGACGGCGAGCATGGGTGGCTCCCCGTCCGAGCAGAAACAGACCCGAGCGTACGGCGCGTCGCGTTCCGCGCGCGCCTCAAAGAGCCATCAGACCACCACAGATGGGGCCCAATAGGGCCGATGCCGATTCGAAGTCGCGGAGAATCTAACGGGTAACCGGGGCTCCGGCTCGACGTGCAGGAGAAGGAACAGGGTGGTTTTTAGTCAGTAAGAGTCTGACACTCCCTTCCGCCTCACCCAGGCGGGAGCAGTCACTCGATGATTTTTCCCCTTAAAAAAAAAAAAAGCCAGCGGGCTACGACTAAATTTGGGCTATAATGGCGATTATACTGGTGCTGGTGGGGTATAATAGCGATTATACCCCACCAGATCCCAAATGCCCTTCGCTGTCGGTAAATTGCCACTGATTCAATGATTTTTAATGTCGCAATAAAATTCGTGAGGTTAGCTACACATCGCGCATTCAGAACTTTCAATTGATGGCTATACTGGTTGTGCTGCCATGGCGGCACAACCATTTATATAAATTTGTTTATACCAATTAGAAGCATCACAGTTACAAACATAATTATAAAGAAAGTCTACTCTATTCTTTCTAAATCCCAAAATTGTGACTTACCTGCAATAAGAGGCGTTCATCTGCCCAAATAACAGCGCGGCGCCAATCAATACGTTCATCAAATGGTAATCGCCAACCATTACTTAATAGTACTGGTATACATCCTGCGGCCAATGCTTCAAGGAAACGATATGAGCCCAAACGTCGTCCTCGTGCCACGAGGCAAAATGTCGAGTTGGCTAATAGTTGCTCATAATCAAATCTGAAAAAAAAATATATAAAAATAGATGTATATGGTATGAACATGAAGAGATCTCAAAGTAGACAATAGGACGGGAGTGATAAAATAGTACTTGAAATAATAGATAGGTGATTAAAGGTAAACGCACACTACTTATCCGAGCAAACGTGTCAAACAAGTCGAACAAAACGAATTTCAGAATTCTGAGGCCTTAAGCGCCCTATAACGATCAAATTCGTTTGACAAACTTGTTTGATGAAATTTACGTTTTCACCAAACAACGGCGCAGACGAACAAACGTACATCATACAAGTTTGTCAAACAATTTGCGAGAATCAGTTTTTTCCTAGTCGTGACTTGACGTCGTTGTGCTGGGTGCCTAAAATGAGCAACATAGACGACGCATTTTTGGTGTTGACTCTAGAATAAATCGATAAATAACCATCTTCAATAAATTTGTTATATTTTTATTGCAGCGCTACTCTTGTTTTTATCCATGTAATCCTTAGATTTTATTTGCAATATCTCGATAAATTGATATAAAATGTAGCGTAAATTCTTTATCTCACATTTATTTGTCCATGTTGTCGAGATTCGCGATGCTGCCAATCAAACTCGAAGTACCCGGTATGTCCTCCATGGTGTCAGATCAACGAATGAGATCTTATTTGACAAACACAGCAGAACACGTTCAAACGCTACGTCAATCAAAATTCTCTTCAAACAGTTCAAACCAATGATATTATAAAACTATACGTCATTGGTTCAAACACGTAGAATGTTTGACAAACGCTTGAAACAAAGCTGTACGTACACTATCAAATTGTTTGACAAACACGTAAAATTTGACATACAATTTGGTCGTTTACAGGGCGCTTAAGGCCTCTGTACAGAAATCTCTTGAAACCAAGCGAGGTTTGAACGCGCTAATCTCAGGAACTACTGGTCCGATTTGAAAAAATATTTTTGTGTTGGATAATCCATTTATCGAGGTAGGCTATAAAACATCACGCTACGATCAATAGGAGCCGAGCAGAGCGGGTGAAACCGCGCGGAAGTAGCTGGTAATATTATAATATGTAAACATCTCAAGAAAATTGGTAGGTAAAATTCGGGTAGAATTTGTGTGATTTCATTAAAAGTAAACTTGCAAGTCGAACTTGCAAGTTGCTTAGAAAAGGCAAATATTTTTTGAAAACCGTGTCATAGTAAATACTAACCGTTTCCCGCGACGTCGTCCGTGTATAGTAATGAAATCTGGCAGAATTTGGGTTTTTGAATTATTCTTTTTCAAGGTTATTTCTAATGCTGTGTAACAAATGTCATCATAATCGATTTAGTACCTAAGTATTATTTAACCTTTTCGAAACCGAATATACAGGTGACTTGTAACTCGACGTATTTCGTGAACGTGTTGGCTTTGGTTTAATTGGATTTCATTGGCTATTTGAGACTAATAATGGATATTGTGATAGTTGTCGAATTGCTCTCATCGGTCCATAATTCATCTAAGAAAGCTTGAATCTTATGAAGCCGCTGAAGAACTGAGACGCTCATTCAGTTCAAGAGGGACCGTCGTCACAGAAATAAGGAAGCGGGTGCGAGCATGTTTGTAATTATAATAACATAACATAAACATAACATCGCGCCTTTTATCCCCGAAGGGGTAGGCAGAGGTAGGCACGTAATGCCACTGTACAATGTATCTAACACCCACTTTTCACTATTTACGTTATGAGTCCCACGTATTAGGGGGTGAGCCTATTGCCATATACCGGGCACAATTCCAGACTCCGTGTTACTACTGAGAATTTTGTAAAACCCAGAAGTACTTTGCCCCACCCGGGAATCGAACCCGAAACCTCTTTCCCGGCAGTAGCACTTGCGACCACTCAGCACACGAGGCAGTCAGTAGGTAAATTATAATAATGTTCCTTTTTTTCTCTTATTAACTCGTCGAGTACCGGTTTTAAAGACACAATTAAAGAACAATAGGTCGCGGTCACCGGTGACCGCTTGGTGTTTGAAAGTTTAAATACTAGCTTTTACCTGCGGCTTCAGTCGCGTCACAGAAGGATAAAAAGTAGCCTATGTGACTATCCATCTCTTCAACTACCTTCAGTTAAAAAATCACGTTAATTAATACCTCCGTTTTGCCCTTTAAGACAGGCAAACAAACAAATAGCTTTCCGTTCGCGTGGGATTCGGTTATATCGCGCTTTTTAGATTTTTCCGTGGAAATGAGATGTTTTGCCGCGATAAAGCCTTGCTTTTCCAGGACTCAAACTACCTTCATACCAAATTTCGTCAAAATCCGTTTAGGCCTTTAGGAAAAAACAACATACAGGAGTTATTTTCGTATTACCACAAATACCATCCTCCCATTTCAATTTAAAAGACTTCACCTAACTAATATACAGCTACTGTATCAATCAACCTAAAAGGAACAAAATATTTAAAAGCGAAAAATACTATATCTACCACATAGATACCAATTAGTAATATGTTGACTTAAAAAACAGCAAATAAATGAGTCGAAAAGTGCACCGAATAAGTGTAGGTAGTGCTATTGCACGCGTGAGATTTCCAATAGGGATGATGACAGGGTATGAAAATTAAAAATCTAAATAGTCCGTCAGTTAGGTAATGAAAAAATTAGACAGGTATTTTTTATAATAACTATCGTGAGACGTAGTAAATTACCTAAATTAACTAAAATCGCGGTTTACTCACGTGAATAAAAGAAAAGCTCTACTAGTTTCGAATCACAGAGGGGGTCCCCTCTGTGATTACGCACGTTATATTCACGTGAGCAACCCGCGATTTTAGTTAATTTAGGTATTTTTTTAATTTTGTTGTATAATAAAATGATGCTTAGATATAACGAATCAAAGTTTAGGAGTGGGGGCTAAAACGTCATTTCTACGTATAAAATGTACATAGAACTGACGTCACGGGACATTTCAAAGTGTCGAAAGTATTCGTTTCTATAAAAAAATAAAAAATACGTGTCTAATGTTTTAAAATAATCTACCAGACGGACATTAATATAAAAATTTGTAATTTACCCTATTAGTAGGTAATTCGTTGACTTGTTTTAAATGATATACAGCGCCATTTATACCAATACACACAGCGCCATCTATACCAAAATTCTTGTTTTTACTCGGTAATATCAAATATTTCCGAGATAAAAAGAACCCTATTATTTCATCCGGACTTCTAACTTCACGTCTGCAAACTTTTCTAAGCAATCGGTTTAGTAGTTACGGCGTGAAAGCAGAACAAACAAACTCACTTCCAATTTATAACATTAGTCAGGACATTAGTAAGGAAGTAAGGATAAGGATAGCCTATGTTCATCAGGGATAATGTAGAATACAGTAGTGTCGAAGCCTCTACAATTCAAAAAACAAATAATCAAATTTTTCCTCTTTAAAATATTAGTGTAGATGTAGATTTATTTTAGAAAAGTCCATTTCTAAGACAAACTTGAAATTATATTGTATGTTCCTCGAATTTCGGATCACTGTGTCTAAACATAATATTAATTTTGTATAAAGTAAATAGAGTAAGATAACTGTGGAAATGAGGAAAACGGAAAGCTGGGTAATATTTAATTTTTTTGGGTTTTAAAGTTGCCACAGGGACCATTTGTAAGTACACACTAAAAGTCAATAACTATTAATTTTTACCTATCAATTTGTTCCACAAAAATGTTGGAAATGATCTGTTCTATAATACTATACAAGATTAAACTCTAACTAGCTACTTCTGCACAGATTCACACGCTTTGCTCCGCTCCTATTGGTCATAGCATGATGTTTTATAGCCTATAGCCATCCTCAATAAATACGCTATCCAACACAAAAAGAATTATTCAAATCAGACTTGTAGTTACAGAGATTAGCACGTTCAAATAAACAAACAAAAAACCAAACTCTTCCGCTTGATATAATAATATAAGATAACAAATTATCCTGTATATTAATTAGTATAGAAATATTAACAAATACTTACTTATCATATTCTCTGTTGTCTTCATCACATCTTTCATCGCGTAAATCTTTCCATGACTTTCCATGACGACATGTTGTGACTAGTATTAAATGACTGCCATCATGTAAATGCCATAATGAATTTCTAGTTTCACTACCAATACCATGAACATATCTCTTGCCTTTGAATGCTAACAAATGACGTCTTGGTGCAGGGAACGGATTACCAGTAGCAGCAGGTGGAACACCCCCTCGTTCTGGATGTTCCTTGTGAAACAAAGGCAATGAGATGTCAAATTCATCCCTAAAGAAAGACTCTGAAGCACTAGCTCTGGCTAAAATTGCCTCTCCTGGGTTAAAGCCCAGAGCACTTTCAGCATAATCAGGCCAAGTTCCAGCATACAAATTAAAAATGAGGTGATTCCGTCCATTGTTCCAATAGGGTAGATGTGTTAGTCGTGATGCAACATCAGCAGCATGTTCTGGTGACAGAGGATCAGCATCTAACGTGTCTATGGCAGGAACAAATAGACAGGCTTCATTCGGATCCCTTGTAGCATATCGTGACTCTCTAATCACCGACAATACCTTACGATACGATGCACTTACTGGACCATCACTTGGATAAACATAAATCTTTGGATCTTTGCCACATTTGGAAAAGTCGAAGCACGTTTCCATTCTACAAGGAATCTTTTCTATAGTTAACTTTCTATAGGGTTGAGTCGGCAGTTCTGATAATTCTTCGAAAGACGCGAAACTGGGTAATACACTTTGTCGACTGCTTTGGGTGTGTTCTGATTTCAAATGAAACGTAGTAAAATAACAGTACACTAAAACACCAAATGTTATTGAAAGAAGAATGAAACGTTTTTTAGCCTGCATTTTCCACACATTCACTTCTAGTTATTAAATTTAAACACATCAATTCACTTATTTTGGAAATATCTAACTGCCTCAGACTAACTGAATCGTTAGTATCCACCTAGTTTTAAAATTTACATTTTCATATATAAACGATTCGTTTACTATGTAAATAATTGGAATTAAATTATTGAACGAAAGAGGAGTAACAACAAATCAACAAATCTATAACAGACTGTATTTAATAATGTCATGTAGCATGTACATGAAAATAAAATAATCAAATGACAGTGACAACAAAAAACACAACAACAACCAACCGAGTTGAAGTGTGACCAGCCCACTGATATGTATGATATATCTATGGACCAGCCACACAGACTGAAAACCGATAAGCAGACCGAAACCGTACGTTACACGAAGCCAAATACACACTTGCGCAATTTATTGCTTAACGGGGCCGGACTAAGGTCGGCATTAGAAATAAAGGACATTATTATTATACCTGCATAGAGAAAAGCGTGTTTTTGGGATGAATAATATTTATAAATACTGAATAAATATCCAGTTTACCGGATTGTCGTGGTGGCCCAGAGGTTTAAAACGCCTGCTTCTCATGCATGAGGGTGCAGGTTCGAAACCTGCCAACGGCAAGTACTAATGTGACTTTTTCCGAGTTATATGTACTTTCTAAGATTATTTAGACACCACTGACAAACAGTGAAGGAAAACATCGTGAGGAAACCTGGGCTTATAATTTCTAATTATAAGTTCTTTCTTGTGTGAGGCTTTGGTCAGTAGGGGGCATATATAGGTTGTTGATGAGATGATCCATTTTTACTATAATTTTCGAGATATTTCTTGGGCCTTTTCTGAAAGTGCCGGTCAACGAATAAAAAATGGTACGTATCGATAGATCTAGTCAATTAGAGCTACAGTTAATATGACATAAAAGTGGTAGGATCCAAGATTTTTATAAATTAATTGCAGTATTTATTTATTCATATTGCACAATGTACACATTATTATAATAGAAGTATTACATACAACTAATTCAGTACATTACCCTGTTAGAGCGTAGCAATTTGCTTTCTAAAGTGCTAGGACACGCAAAATAATGATCGTTATTGCTAGAATAATGAATCTGAGGCAATTATGATGATAATGCGGAAAGTTTTCGCAGTCTTCTTTTTTTTGTTGGTTTAAATATCTTTAACTGACTGGGGAAGTAGGAGGGAGTGCCAGAACGAACACCAGAACGGGGCAGGCGGGAAATGACTAGAAAGTCATCTCGTCTTCAACAACGTAAATAAAAACTTACCAATGAAAGGTTATTCCAGGTATATTCCTATAGCTATTGCTAAAGCTGTGACTATCGTACGCATTTAGGGATCGTTATTAGGAGGATCCCTAATTGAGCACTGCCTTTCTGGTCGTGGGGTGCAGGGGGTTGAGAAAAACAACGGTGTTCAGATACCGGATATATTTACGTAAACCCCCAGATAGAACCGTTCACTCGGACCAGTGCGCAGTAACTGTCCGTGCCTCGCATACTTCACGCTCACACAAGTTTTTGCTTTCCTTGCACTCTACCATACATACTTACATGTGTCCCTACACGCACTACACTTCACCATTTCAGTTTAGATTATTTAAACGTTTAATCGTAAAACCAATTAATATTTTCTTTTATAACGAGATTGACACAGTTGTAGGTAAAAACATATCAATATGGCGGCAACAACAAACTGGCTACATGTCAATATTTGTCTATGTGCGGAGCAGTGTGGCTACAGGTAAAAGAAAGAGACGCCATTATTAGGTTGGTGCTTGATAGAACAAGGACAAAGAATGATGGGTATCATTAAACGTATAACTAGGAGTTCGGTCTGCTAGTCAGTATCTATTGTTAGTCTGTGGATCACGTCATATTTTGTTTGTCAGCCATAGCCGACCGCATGGGCGTAGCGAGGGGGAGGCAGGGGGGGCAGCTGCCCCCCCCCCCTAGCGGGCGGGCGGGCTGGCGATCTGAGCGAACTTTATTTCACCTCTATAAAAAAATTTACTGAGCTAAGCTATGTCATACTCATAATTATGGTAATTATTGTTATCTTTCGCCTCGCTAGCATAGTTTAGTGTTAATCTATGGTATAGTTGGGTGGCGACCTCTCGCGTCTGGGCCTAGTGCAGGCCATGATGCGGAGCGAGGGGGACTGGGATGCCGTTTCCTCCTTTTGCGAAGCAGTCATGCTAGCTAAGGAGGAGGCGGGACGCGTGAGACAGCGAAGCGCTGCCTTCTCGCAACCCAGCCATCGTGAAGGACACACCGGGCGTCGGGGATCGCGGGACGATCTCCGGCCACCGTAAGCGCGGGACTGTGGACGACGAGCATGGGTGGCTCCCCGTCCGACCAGAAACAGACCCGAGCGTACGGCGCGTCGCGTTCCGCGCGCTCCTCAAAGAGCCATCATACCACCACAGATGGGGCCCAGTAGGGCCGATGCCGATTCGGAGTCGCGGAGAACCTAACGGGTAACCGGGGCTCCGGCTCGACGTGCAGGAGTAGGAACGGGGTGGTTTTTAGTCAGTAAGAGTCTGACACTCCCTTCCGCCTAACCCAGGCGGGAGCAGTCATTCGATGATTTCCCCCCTTAAAAAAAATGGTATAGTTCGTTCGGTAGTCGTTCTGCCGCGCCTCCACCGCCGCCGCACGCGCCTCCACCGCCGCCGTACGCGCCGTGCGCCGTCGTCGTAGCTATACACAAGCCGGAGCGGGGTGCGGTTACGGGGTGAGAGGGGACGCAACTGATGCACAGCGCGTATGCATGCAGTGTTGGAATTCGTACTATAATTATAATATTGGTACTATCATTTCATATCTTAATGACGAGATAATACTATATTTTTTGCCTTCCGTTCCATTTACCCTTATTTTATGCTGAAATTTTACATTTGCTGACTTGTACACATGATAAAAGCTTCCACTATGCGGGGATTCCCCACGCATAATCACGCATTCAATAGAGTATGATCAACATAGGTACAATAGGTACCTATAATTACTTAACTATAAAAATCAGTAAGTGCGACAGGGACGGGACGAAACTATCATAGTTGAGTAGGACACTACATATTAGAATTTGCATGTATTTTGGTCGTTGCTTATAGGGGACCTTGTAAGTTTTAAAAGTTTCTTCAGTTCCTTTCATGAGTGTTAGTGAATTCATGAATAGGGTATTACGCACTATGAAAAATAAAATCTAAATTTATGTTTTTATAGTTCATTTATAAAAAAACAAACGAAAAATATTAATTTCTATTCATAAAACTGCAAAATAAATTAAATATTTCAATTTGAAAATACAAGTTTTTTTATCTGTGCTTCGAATGTCAAAAACGCTGTACGCCATGTTTGCATTCGCTGTGACGTCACTGGACTTGTAAATAAACAACCTCGGTTTTTGTTGTACTTGTCTACTGTGTAATTTATTAGATTGACGAAGTTTCTCAGTTATTACTATCACGTTTCTTGATATTCTGCACCATACTATATATATTGACCATGGAAGACGGCTTTGTAAAAGCAGAAAGTACTAATCTTCCACGAATAAATACATTGATGGTGGCGAAATTCTTCGCTTGCAATCCCGACTTCTGTTCTGCGGAATTAAGAAATGTCAAAACATCTATGTAAGTATTAATATACCTACTACAAACTTTCCTTTAATAACAACAAAACTTTACGATTATGCTTTATTTTGCGATCATAGGTATTATAACCTAAAATTTCCTTTCAGATCTGGTAGAGAATCTTACGGAGATGACGCCGTTTGCGTGGACGCCGTTTGATGTGGTTACATCGTCGAACTGAAGATCCATCATGTACTTCAGTGGAATGTTACTGGCGTAAATCAAATCTTGCTAAAGTAGGATCTTCTATAAAAGTACTCACAGCAAGTGAAATTTCCAAGAGAAAAGTGAGGAACATCATCCCGGATAATAGTGTGTTAAAGGAATTTGTGCAAGTTTGTAAAAAAAGAAAAATTAAAACATGCCAGTTCTTGAGACATGAGCAGGACTTTCTCACAATGCAATTTTATCCCTTCACCACCTTATGATGAATTAATAGGCATGAAAACTGTGACGATTTCCTGAAAAATATATCAATATTTTTCAATAAAAACAATATCTCAGCCATGGAAAAACAAACACGAGGCCAAGATAAAAGTAGCATGTGGCACGAACTAAGATATGGCAGGATCACAGCATCAAAATACTATGAAGTTAGTCGATGTAAAACTGTGGATGGGACTTTGATAGCCATAATACTGGGTGCAAGAATTCCTGAAACTTCAGCCATATTGAGGGGGAAAAAACTGGAAGATAAAGTTAGAAAAACAGTTGAAAAGATTATAGGAAATAAAATCGACATATTTGGTCTATACATTTCAGAGCAATTTCCAATGATTGCTGGCTCCCCAGACGGTATTAATGATAAGACCACATTTGAAATAAAATGCCCGTCAACAGAAAAAACCCATTTAAACTATATTGATAAGGATGGTGTAATTACAGCTCGATATTATGCACAAGTCCAGATACAAATGTATTGTGCCAATAGAAATAAATGTTATTTTTGTGTAGCAAGCAGTAATTTTGAAAAAAATAATGAAGTCTCTATAATAAACATTGATTACGATCATGATTATGTTACCGAGTTATTGGATAATGTAGTTTCTTTTTGGAAAAATAATATATTTCCAATTATACATAAAAGTGTGATGTTGGATTCTTAAAAAAATCCATATGGGAGACCCTTTACAGGGATTCAACTTTATTTATTTATATGTTAAATGCTGTGTGTGTTGTAATAAAAATAACTATGTTGATTCAAAAGTGTTTTATTTAACAAATTACCATTCTTGAAGTTAAAATTTGTCCATTTACATAAAAAAAATGTAGAAAACAAGATATTTAAGTACAAGTTTTGTCACATCTTGATTATCATCACAAATGTGCAG